GGGTTTGTCTGCTGAAACTGTGATGTTGTATTTATCTTTTAATACTGAACCATAAAAACCTGGATTTAAAAATCCAAGATGGAAGTTAGGCACAAGTTCTTACAGCTTGGTGAAATTTAAATAAGAAGAATGGTTTATATCAATCGAATTCACAAAGCAAAAGTGGTTCAGGATTTGGGAAAAAAGTTAATATACTTGCTGCGGATGTATTTGGCTTAACTTGAACTGTATTCAAATGCCAAGGCAGGAGCAGTGAATAACCTCCTGGTATAGAGTCTAATTCTCCAGTAATACTTACTTCCTGAAGTGATAACTTTATGTGAGTCAAGGACACCCAGCATTTCACAAGAAACGCTTGGTATTTTGCAAGATCAAATTTCAGCCACTGTAAAGTTCTCCAGAAGCAGCAGCATTTTTCTCTGCCCCCCCCTTTTTTTTAAACTGTTGGAAAAAAAAGAAAATCCCCCCAAAATAAACCACCACCCTGAATTAGGGCTGAGTGGTAACTGTAATTTGCTGGTTCTGCTGCAAACAGCAGCATCCTCCAAACAGTGCAACGAGCACTGCAGAAAGGTTTCATCACCCCATTATGAAGAAGTTTGAAGGTTTTATTTTTCATTTTATTATGAAGGTTTCATAACCCTGTTTTGACAGAAGCCATAAGGCACTGCTAGCGTGTGAGTGTAAAATACGCAGAACAAATATAAATAGAGATCCAAAATACTTTTAGTACTCTTTGTTTTCAATCTGTTATTGTTTGTTCTTTTCAGCAAAATCTGAGAGAATTATTTTTACCTGACACAAGCTGGGAACATCCAGCTGCATCACCACTAACACAGTGTGACCTGGAAACGTACCTTCTTTGCAGCTTTAGGTTATGGCAGCCTAAGCTGCTCAATGCTTCCAGGAAATAGAAGCTCAAATGTTCAGGTACAAGGAAGGCAAAGCTATAACACTGATTTCTCTACCTGCTGCAGGAATCCAGAGCCTGCTTTCCACCTGGATTTCAACACACCCCTGCAGGAGTTATCCCAGCTACCAGCTTCTCTTGATCAGACAAACAACTTGGTGAGGAACAAATTCCTATCACACACTGTCACAGAGTACCAGCCTCTCCAAGACATACGCCAAGGGATGAACAGTAGAGAGTGGCATATGATTACGCAAACATAAAAGGACCTTTTTGGAGCAGTTAAATCAGGCTGTGCCTTGGACGTCACCTACAGCCATCCTTCCACATCTCTAACCCTCTAACTTGTGCTTGGTCATGCTTAACTTGCTCAAACTGGCATTACTATAAGAAGCTGGCTACAGCTTGGTACTGTTCACACACCCACTTGGCAAGCAGCATCCAGATAAATCGATGCCTGCTAATGCTTCTCAGAATTTCCCAAGACCTACAGGATACTCTCCCACAACCTATTTGAAGAAACCGAGGCTCACACCAATTGCTGCCTCACAGAGAGCCATCAGCGTGCACCCAGGAGTCCTGATAACATCCCTGGGGCAGGTGGGATCACCATTAACTGAGTAGAGATTCTCCAAATGGCTGTTCAAACACTGACCAGATCGATGTTAGCATTGATTAGCTCACTAGCACTGAATCAACAATGGCTCCCTGCTGCTCATGGTATCAGAGACTCATTTATAGAAGTAATCCTCCGGTTTACCCATCTCTTGCTTACTTCTCTTTTATCCTGTATCATGGTTTTAGAAATACAGAAAAGGTTCCTGAACACTCAAGCACAGGCTCTAACTTCTCAGAATAACATGAAGTTATATAGTCCCCCTGCTTATCCTTTGTACAGAGCATCTTTAATCTTTGTATCAACTCTTAAATCACTGTTGGTGATGCCTTCCTGGTAGATGCAACTGCCCAAGTCATGTCTTTTCAAATACTTTTGGGACCCTTTTCTCAGCCTTACTCTATCAGGCACCTTTCGCTGTTGCTAATGGTCATGCCAGCCCAGGCTTTCTAGTTTCCAGCCAAAAAGACATCACCTATCAGCAGGGAGAGGACAGGGAGTCATTTGGACAGGAACTGCCTGTTCTTACCTTAGCTCTCCCCGTGCTCTGAAGAATATGCACCAAAGCACAAGCCATCTCCTCCTTATTCCTCACGCTGATCACAGGTTCCAGCACAGAGCACAGCATAGTGTAGTTGCTGGTAACAAACTCTGCGAATTCTTTATATTGCTCCATGGGCAAGATGGTGATGGTCTGATAACGGGACTTGATCCGGATGGAAGGTCCCCCCGTTTTCCCTTTGTTGGGTGTAGGGGTGCTGACTGGGTACCATTTTTCCACAAACTGGCGACCAGTTACGCTGGCCATGGGAATGTTGACCAGGCCTACGTAATTGTTCTTGTCCTTTTTCTTCTTCTTCTCCACATCCTTGTAGATGTGAACGGTGATGCTGTGAAGAGGTGGGAGACCGTAGAACTCAAAGTGCTCTCCCCAGAAAATGTTGTCCGCTTTTGTTTTGCTGGTGGTGCGGGCAAAGAGAGTGTCATCAAGGCACAGCTCACAGAAGTATTTCTTCTTGGGGGCCAGGTCCTTTGCCTCAATGATCCAGAGACGGAGTACATTTTCAGCGCGATGGCAGTTGTCCTGTGCAGAAGAAAGAGCTCAGCTTTGATTCAGAATCCCTAAAAATTGAACATTTTGTCTTCTAAAGCAGCAGCAAACGGCTGCCTTTTGTGTCCAAGGCCGGGACAGAATCAGAATTCAGTATCAGATTCTCTGATCTTCAGAATCAGAACCTTAGAAAATCAGACATTTTCTAAAGTAGAGACAAAGGGCTGTCTTTTGTATGCCAAAGGTGGGGACTAGAACATTTTGCTTCTCAAACAGCTGTACTTGAAATGGTTTAGAAAACAAACACTGCACAGGAGTCACTCAAAAGCCACTAGACTGGCATGGCACGCTGCCTTGTTAACTCCTGTGAGAACTCCAAGAGCACTGTTAGCCTGTCCATCGAAGGTGGAATGTCAGCTATGGAGCTGACTTATCAGTATTAACCAGCTGATTAATAACTTGATTCCCCTTCTCACTCCAGCTCAAATCCCCCACCCCCTTTTTTTCTTCCCCTTTTTAATTTTTCCAAACTGTGCCCCCACAGTAAAGCACGTTGTATCCTTTTGAGGTGCACGGTATCAGAAACCCAGTCTGAAACATCACAAGCAGGCAGTGGGGCAGGGATCAGGAAGCAAGCCAACGTGTATTTATTCATTAAAGCTTTGACCTACTGCACTCACTAGAATAGCACACAGCAGGTTTGATACACCGACGAGCGGACTTCTCCCCAGACTAAATTAATTGACTATGTATCTGTGGGAAGCCCTGGTACACTGGACTAAAATCCAATCATACCGTCTCCATCCCCCCGTAATCTTATTTCCATAGGTTCCATTACCTTATTGGGCTGCACTGTTCTGCGTAGGTTTTCCATCCACTTGTCCCTCTCTGCTGCAGAGGAACAACTGAAGCATTTACTGCCGCTGGAGTAGGTTACCTGGAACACAGAAATCACAGGCTGAGTTCAGGCAAGCCTAGGAGACATGTAAGGGGCTGCAAAAAGCAAGGAAGAAGATAAGCAATGCTTGAGCAACAAAGTAAATATGAAAAAGGCAGGAAAACAATATGGGAGCCTATAGAAGGCAGAGAAGTTAAAGAGCCTACAAATATAGAGAAAAAAAAAGTCATACAAATTAATATAAAGAAACACATGAGGAGGACTAGAGCCTCTTCTTAAAGACTTTTAAACAAGGCTTTAATCAACCAGTTCATTTATTTTTTTAAACATTTGTTAATTGATCCATAGCTATTAAACACTTGCAGCTTTCCCTGCTAAGTCCCAAAGGCAGATGATTTGGTTACTCGCAGTGTAAAGACGGACAGAACTAACAATGTGTTCATATAAAGCAAAACACACTGGAAATGGTGTCTCCAGGACACACAAAAGATTTCCAGGGGTCCATATATACAGCAACAGACTGAAACAAACCGAAGGAGCTGTGACCACCTGTGGCCCTGACACTCCATGTGACACACAGCTCTGCTTTCAGGCGGGAGGGAGGGAACCACCTGGCTTTCTCTCACTTTTACGTGGCCTGACAAGCTCCATTTCCTCTTTCCATTCATTCCAACAGTCTCACATCTAAGTTGTTGCCAGTTTTTTTAATCAACTCCCCAAACCTCAACAAGCTGGAAACTCTTTCCAACCAGAAGAATGAGACTGAAAAGCGAACAGGAACAGTTCCTGGATACATCCCGAGGGAGAAGGACCTGATGTGCTGGTTTTCTGCCAGAGCAGTTTTCCAGGTTGCAAACAGATCTTTGTTCCAGAAGTTTAGACACATCTGACTA